TAGGTAAACAGATTAATTGGATGGTTCAGCCCAAACTGGATCTCTAGGCAATACAGCTTAATGATTTAACAGCATGAATGGTTTATTAGCATGAAGCAGGTGACTCCTTGGCACTGAGATATTAAACAAGTGATCATATGACCTCTCTATGCTTCTAATCCTTTACATGAAAAAGGAGACAGTACAATCTCCTTTGGATTATGTTGTAAGGGTTAAAGAAATGTTGTGCAGCAATCACTTCAGTCACATACTATGAGCTCAAAAATCCCTCCTATCATGAAAGCTTTTCCTTCCTCTGTCATGTGCCTAAAGTATCCACATCACCTCTCAACTTTTCCTTTTTTTTTTCTTTTGGTACCAGAGATCGAACTTGGGACCTTGAGCTGCAAGGCAGGTGGCAGGACCACTGAGCTAAATCCCCAGCCCTACTTTTCCTGTTTCTTAATGGGTATTCCCTTCTCTATGCAGTTCACTCATTCATTTAGTTCCCCAATGCTTACTGAATACCTAGTCAGGCCACCTGAGGAAACCACAGTACTTAAGAAAAGTCTTTGCCCTCATAGTGCTTCCATTCTTGGATTTGTGGGAGAAAGGAGACAGACAATAAGCAAATAACACTAAGTAAGGTTAAGTTTTATAAAGTATAATAAACTAAAGAAGGGATAGAGAATAATCCCTGAAGAGAGTACTTAAGAAGATCATTAGAGAAAGGCCTACTGGAAGAATGAATATTTAATCAGATCTGTGCAAGGGGCCAATGCAGGAACAAGCAAGGTGTCTTGTAAATGAAGAACATTGTTCAACTATGCATTTCTGTGTTTTAGTGTAACAACTGGCTTACATGTCAATTTTGCCATGAACCTGTGAGCCCCTGAGAGTAAAAGCTGTGTGTGTATCCCTTTCTCTCTCTGCACTACTTACTCAGCCATTTTTCCTAAGTGCACCCACCTCTCTTCTCTTAAATACTGGATTAACAGTGAAGAAACTAACTCAGTAAGTTTTCTGCCTTTGGGGAGCTTAGCATTGACCATACACAGTTAAGTGTTCAAAACATATGTGCTACATGAATGATCCTTGCTTGATTTTCAGCTGTGGAGTTGTACATCCTGCCAAGTTCTAGGCTCTACAGCTCCATTCATCCTTCGTCCCTTGCCTAAAAAATCAACACCATCCATCAACTTGTTACTGCCTCTCCCTTCTCTGTACTAAGCTGCTTATAATGAGCTACATGCAGTCCATTCCACCTGAAAAGCCATCTCCATCACCCCCACCTTTTTTGACAGATGAATTTCCAGTATTAATTTCCAAATTTCATTACTATACTGCTTTTATCATTTGTTCAAATGTGTACAAATTTCTCAAGTTTTTCAGTCAAAACTTTACCATGAAGTAACAGCACTGCAACAAGTGACAAATTCCAGATTGAGTAGTAAAGACAGATGAAGGTCAAATGATCTGAGGATGCTTGAGTTATTTCTTTTCCTCCCCCAATATGACAGATTTCAGTGACTTTCTGGGCTTCGCTCGTGTAGAATTGTGCCAGGAAACAAGGGCAGCAAAGTTCTCACTTCTGTATACTCACTCACTCACCCATAAAAGAAAATGTTTCATTTACAGTAAGCAAAAGCAATTTGGAACATGAACTATCACTTAAAGGTCTTCCCCATATGGAAGGTCAATAGTTTAGCATCTAAATGATTTGAGAGGGATACCCTTTTCTAAAAGCAAAAATTGCAGTTGTACCTCATTTTTAAAAGGGAAAAAAGGTCAGATCTTTATTGTCCAGGACAATAAGGCAGATTTACAACTTCCAACACCTCCCCCACAACTTCATTTAGCTGATAAGAACTTACACCTAACCTTCAGTCCTTTCCTTCCAAAAGCCAGGCTCCTCCCCCTTCCTCCCACTTTTTTTCTCCTCCCACTTCCACATGAGCAGAAAATTAAACTGGAGCCATTCCTTTTGAAGTATCCAACAGTGCTCACTTTGGCAGCACATATACTAAAATTGAAGTGTCCAACAACAGGGACCCAAGGGGAGGCAGTTTGCTTTGACAATATACGTCCCTCTGGGCTTCACAGGGATCCCACACTACAGTGATTCTAAAATTGGGGGCCTGAAAGGAAGTGTTTCCCACAATGTCTATGCTACCTTTAAAAAGAACAGCTATGTCCTAATAGGCCACAGTACTGTACTTAGAATCACTGCCATTTCAAACTCAATGTCCTCAACCAAGAGTCCTCAAAGACTGACAGACACATGGGCTCCTGTCTGCACTCGTCACAGAGCAGCTTTCCTGTATTATGTCACCAAGTGCCATAGCAACTTCTTCACCTGTCTGCCAGTTACTGGAAAGATCTGTAACAGTGGGTAGAAAACTGACCAAAGTGTTGGGTTTACTGACCACCACTCCCCTAAAAGTTTCAAAGTTTCAAAGCCAGACTACTTCAGAGCTAGAATAGGAAATACATACAGTATAGTAATTATATGGCGATGCTGCAACAACCAAGACTGAGACTGAGACCTAGTGTTGTTTTTAATTAGATGTATAATTTTATGTAAGTCATTTAACCACTCTAAGCCCTTAACAATTCTTTGTCAGACAGACCCTGAAAGTCTCCATATCTATCTATCAGACCTCATGCACTGGCACTTTTTCGACTTTATCTGACTAGACAAGCAGAGCTCACTCCCACTTCAGGGTCTTTGCACCGCCCCTCTGTTTGCCTTGCCTAACTAATACTCTTTCATTGAGTCTCACCTGACTGGCTACTTTCATCATTTAACTCAAATGTCAAAATGTTCTCAAATGTCCTGGATCTCATAAACATTACAACTTAAAACAGTGAATCTGAGACCAGAACTAATTAAAAAAAAAAAAAAAAAAAGTCAACGACATTAGGCATCAGGAACACAGGAAGGGGTAAATATTATCCTATGGATATGTCTGTGAAATCAGTTAAAGTTGCTTCTAAATGCAGAAAATGGGTCTTTTATCTCTGTGAACTCAATTTTTCACAAGGCCTGGTGTAAAGCAGGCCTGCACAAGAGTGGCAACAGATTTCTAAGATACTTGGCAAGGATTCTTAAACTTGGTAGGAAATGTGAACTATGTTCAACTAACTCTAACGTCACCTATGGAAAAGGGGCTAGGTAGGTAGCACTATCAAATCAGACTTACACAGAACAGAGATTTGAAAATAAAGTTCCTTACCAGTTACAACCCATACTCACCTATTTTATGTCAATTCCAGGATGTTATAAAGAAAAAAAAAACACGTGTCTTGGATGTTATATAGTTCGTAGTGGTACCTAAATTAATTTATAGGCTGACATAATGTATTTTCATGAGGAAACCTACACCAACCAGACAACAGCCTGTTGTATAGGAAGCCTAAAAGTTAGCTTTCACTCTGTAATCAGCTCTGCCAGACTCACTCTGTAACCTTCAACAAATCACTTAATTTTTCTACCCATGAAATGAGCTCTTGCCAGTGCTCATTTCTGGTTCTTGGATACTGTGTGCAACTGCTATCTTTAAAAAAGAAAAAAAAAACTGTTCTCATCTGCTAAGCCTGTGTTCACAGGATAAGAATTTATCCTCAAGTATATAAATCAAAGCAACCAGACCAACCGATGCAAGAGACCTTTTTACCAAGTCTTCTTGCCAAACCAAGGGTATCTACACTCAACCTCAAGTGTTGTGATCAGGCTTCCATTTCCTGGATAGGCAAGTTGATAACACTTCAGCTAAATATGTTACCTTTTAGTTTTCTCTGTACAATTTCTTCTTCCTGTATTCTCACTTCCATAACCCCCATCCTGCTCATCAATTCAAATCCACCTTTCTATTTAGGTTTGTGCGGTTTTTTTTTAATGTACACTTAATGAATAGGACTTACTTGATCATCTGGAGATATTCTCCTTACTCTATTCCAACAGTTATTAGTGGTTTTACTTAGACAAAACCATTCCCTTTGCTACCTCACCATACCATCAAGTGCCTATTAAAGATATTATAATAAGTACCAGCACTTTTTATATTTGCATTAACAATAAAAGAAATGAGATGTCAGAAAATGAGAGGGGGAATTCACAGATGTCATAATTAACTGAAGCTTGGAAAAACTCAAAATATCATTAGGAGCTTTATTTTTGCGAGGAGGGGTTTCATATAGACTATACTTTCCATGTTCTCGTTAAAACTGCATCAGTAATAATTTGCCTCTCATTAATTAAAAAGGGGTAAGTGGGCAAGGTATTTGCTAGACTGTAACTGAGCCCCAGACTAGTTGAGTGATTTCTCCAAGTCATCACCAACTCAAAATTTCCCTCAAAGGTTTCTCACCACTGCGAAGCTTGCCACGTGAAGAAAGTAAAACCTGCTGGAGGGCAAGTTGGAATAGCTTCCATAATGTATGGAAAAAGGGCCAATGGTCTGATGTGTGCTGTGCACTGAAGAGAGAAAACCTTTACCATTTTTTCCTTGATCCATGCATTTCACCAACTCCAGCACCCCCAAAAGTCTGCAAAAGCAGGTAAGTTACTAAGTTGCCTGAGGAAAGTTCACTCAGCAAGGTGAGTTACTAAACACTAATTGGGCTACAGAGTTTTAGGCATGTTCACCACGTGGCCTAAGAAATGCATTCTGGGTTACACGGTTCACAAACAGAACTAGCAGGGCTGACACTAAAACCTCAAGCAAGATTCCAAAACCGAAGAACTTTTCTCAAACTTGCATCCAGCGCCTAGCTCAGGGTCAGGCGCCGACACTGTGAGCTGGGCGGTCCAACCTCAGCGACCCCCGGCGAGCTGGGTGGTTCACACTCAGAGACACCGGGATGCCGACGCCCTCGCCCCTGATCCCCACACCTGAATGGGGACCTGGGTCGCTCCTGCGCCCCGGGCTCAGCACCGCGCGTGGGGCTCCAAGGGGCAGAGCATCGGGACTAGGAGACAGGGGCAGGAGAGCACGAGGACCCGGGCAGGTAGCGCTCACCTGGGACCCGGGAGCCAGGAACCGGGGCCGAAGCACCAGGTCTCGAAAAAGCCTGCCGGCCTGCGCGGCTGCTGGGTACGCCATCTTAACCAGGAACTGCGCGGGGAGTGGCGTCAGGCGAGCCTGGCTGCCGGGGGGCGGGGGCGCGCCGGAGGGGGGAGGGGGGGGGGCGGGGGCGGGGCCGGCCTGTCCCTCGGGACAGCCCCTGGCCCCAGGCGCGCGCGGGCCTCCTACCCAATCCCCTCTCCCTTTCATGTTTAGTATCTGGAAGGCCTCATGGCCCTCTCACCGGGCTGTCCCCGGGTTACCATTACGACCAAAAGCCCTGCGGTCTTGGCACTAACTGTCCCTGGGAATAGGCTATTTGTCACTGCTGTGAGAGCTGGCAGGGCCAGCCACCGAGCCAACACTAGTCCTAAGGTCAGAGAGGCCTGTCTAGGGAAGTGATGTGGAGAGGAAGGCCGAAGCAATTAGTGGAAGGCAAGGACCTGAGGTCCAGGGGCCAAGGAGTCTGCTGTGGTTGATGCAAGCTCTTCACCTCTTACGGAGGCTTGGGTTTTGTTTTGGTTTGGTTTGGTTTTTTTAATCCTTAACCTACAATCAGTGCAAAATTACTTAAAAATTTCAAGCCCAGTAACTATGAGAATAAGAGCATTTATTTGGAGCTTGCAGGACTCTGTGTACTCTACATGTGATAAAAGTGACAACAGCAGTCAGGCTTGGTGGCATAGTCTTGTAATTCCAGCACTCTGAATGGTTAAGGCAGTTAGGAGGACAGCAAGTTCAAGCTGCCTGGGCAATTTAGTGACGTTAGTGCCTCGAAATAAAAATGGATGGCAATGTAACCCAGTGCCAGGGTACTAGGTTCAATCCCCATTACCTCAAAACAAAAAAAAGAAAGACAGAAAGTACACTGAATATAAACCAAGTACTTGACAAACACAAGCTCATTTAGTGATAAGTCTCCCACTACCTCATCAGCTATTATGTATAGTAGCTGCCCTCTTCCTATCATGCCTGGCCTCCTCCCGTGTGACGTCATGCCAAGATGGTTGCTCCCACCAAAGAACAAACCCTTCTTCCCAGCATGCCCCTGATCCCACCTAGAGAGTAACCTAATACTCGCTCACCTCCTACCACCTAGTGACATCGCCGGCTCCTCCACTCCCTAATCACTACCTCACTCAACCCCGCCTCAGCCCCTACAAACCTCACCCCAGTCTCTATAAAAGACTCTCCCTGCCCCAGCCATATTGCTTTTGCCTCTTCTTTGTTCAGGGACATCCCGGCAGATCTATTCCCCTAATAAAGGCTTGTTGTGGCCTGGTCTGGTCTTGGTTTTCGGCCCTTTTACCTGACATTTAGTTTTCATTGTGACTTTTTAAGTAGGTACAAATGTAAAACAATCATTTTGCTAAGAAGAATTTGAGGCACAAAAAGTTTAAGTAACTTGTCAAGTCACAAATATAAGCAGTACACATGCAGTTCAAGTCCATGATCCCTATTAAGAACTGTTTTAGAATTTTTTAAATCTTACTCATTCTTCAATACACGATCATGAGAAAAAGCATTTTGTAACAGAAGGTAGGCAGTTATTGGTACTAGTCTCCTCTAAAGCCCTTTTTTAAAAATTTTTATTTAGGCGTAATTTCAAATTGACAAAAACATATAAAGATTTTACCCCCAAATGTCCGTATATCCTTTACCCAGTTTCATCAATTACAGTACTTATATGGTGGCCGGTTTTCCATTCTTGATAGTTATAAATGCCACTACATTAATTTTATAGCCCATTCTTGGTCAACATCTTACCCACTAGATTTAGTATCCTTTGATATTATCAAATCAATTATTTCTACAATGGTTACAAGTGCTGATTATTTAGCTCCATCCTTCCACACTTATTAATTTGGGTTCTACCCTGGGAGAGCTTTACTTTCTCCCCATTACCTTATTTATTCTTTTATACACCTGTATCAGTATGGGATTGTGGACTCTTTTTTTATTTTAGTTGCAAACCTGTTCTCTTGCCTGTTATGTACAGTCTGGATGTCTGTTATTTAATCTTCACAAGAACCCTGTGGAGGGGGCTCTCCTACGGTTTTCCCATTCTGCCAAGAGAGATCTGGACCACAGGATTTCCATACCACATGGCATTTACAGGACTCGAAGATTCTATAACTTTCTCACAGTGCAGAGCTGCAGAGGAGATTCCCTAAAGCTGGAGTCACTTTTTCTCACACTGCCCTCTTGCCCGCAGTGGATTTGAGTCGCCATTCCATTCATCATTACCCCTACTGGGTCTGCCATCTGGCCAGGATGAAGCGAAGAGTCTTGTAAATGTTTGGAGTGTGAATGTTTAAACTTGCTGAGAGTTTTTAACATGTTGCCAGAGGAAGACCACCTACAGAATTAATCAAAGTCAATTATTCAATATTACCATGCTAAGGGGAACAGCTACTATCACGTATGTTCCAACAGAGACAAGAAGGAATTTGTAAGGAATGGTTTTTCTTTCTTTTGCTAGGGGAATGTGATTGCTAGAGATTGAACCCAGGACCCAGGTTCTGGTGCTTTCTGAACTCTGCCATGAAGTGTTGCTTCATAAAGAAGTGCAGTCCCTGCTAGATGAGCATTTTTCAGGATGAGATTTTTTTTGAAAGTGGAGAGGGGAAAGGCTTTCTGATTGGTGTTTAAGTACATTTAGCAGTTTGAGGTGTCTACTGGTGCATAGCTGGGGGCTTTCCAGGTTCATATGAGTTTTCCTGCTTCAACTGAAAGACTGGCCCTCTCCTAGGGGGCTCAAATATCTTATTAGCAATTCCTCAGTGTCTACTCACATCCTTTCAACCTGCCTTTCTACAGCAAGGGGGTATGCAGAAGAAGGAAGTAAATATTTGTATGGTATCTGATGCCTACCACTGGGCCTGGATAAATGGGTGGATTGAATCACCTTTATTTGAAGGCTTACTAAGACCTCTCCCTATTTCTTAATTTTTTCTTCCTAAATAGGAAGCTGTTTGAATTCTGCACTATGCTTTATGAGGACAAGCACTGGTTTTTTCAGTCAAACTGGAATGGATTCAGATGTCACCTCCTACTCACTTATAAACCTGGGGAAGTACTTAACTTCATAGAAAACTGGTGAACAGTGTTAACTAATAATTATTGGAAACTATTGTTTTGGACTAAGCCCCTGCACTGGACCTCAACATACCAGACTAAAAATCAATATGGAGTTTGATGACACCAAACCTGACTGACCTTCCTTGAAAATATTATTTGAAATTATTTAAGGGGGGGGCACACACAGCCAAATTTTCCATATAGGCTAGTCTCAATCAATGTGCTAATGAAGTTTCTTCTGCTTTCATCTTTGCACAAAAAAGTATTATAGAGTAATCTGATGTCTTCATTTTATTTTGCGTTAGCAGTACTGGGACATGAACACAAGGTTTTCATGTATGCTATGCAAATGCTGTACCACTGAGCTATATATCTCCAGTCCTTTTTAGTTTTAATTTGGGAGAAGAACTTGATAAATTGCCCTCAAACTCACAATCCTTCTGCCTCAGTCTCCAAGTAGCAGGTTACTGGTATGGAGCACTGCACCCTACAGCAAGGTCACCTTACAAGGAAAACAACATTGAAATGATCAGTCTGCATTTTGCACTTTGTTTCTGCTTTTTTCACCCTTTCTCCTGCTATACAAGCAACCTCTTCTGCTCAGCTCTTCAAAATACTTATTCCATATTGTGGAGTAAAATGTTGCCCAGTTCAAGAATTGAAAATAAAGCCAGTTAAGATCCTTAAGCTAAATTTTTTGTAATTTTTATCTTTCATTGTCTTCAGTGAGATGTTGTAGTCAAGACCTTACACACAATTGGCGCTTAATAAATGTTATTTTTCTTTCTCTAGAGGGTTCTTAAATATTTCTTTGATACTAAACATGAAAGACCAGAACCAATCAGGGATGTAGGGTACAAAGTCCATGACACTTTGTAATTTATCTCAGTCACACTGGAGAATTATGGAGATATGCAAATGCCTGATGACAGTATGAAGAGTCTACAGTGGTTGCCTTCAGACAGAGGATAGAGATTAGTGGTCAGGGAACTTTTCTATTTTGTTTCAGAATTTCAAAACTCAACCCTACATTTACTGAATCAGAATTATTTAAGATGGGGGCAGCAATTTTTTTTTTTCCTTGTGGTACCGGAGATTGAACTCAAGGCCTCACAAACACTAAATAATCATTCTACCACTGACCTACATTCCCCAGCCCTTTTTTAATTTTTGGAGACAGGAGCTCACTAAGTCACTAAATTACCCAGGCTCAAATTTGGGATCCACCTGCTTCAACCTCCCAGAGTGCTGGGATTACATGATTAAGTCACCATGTCTGACAGGATTTGCATTTTAAATATTTTCAAGGAGTTCTTTAGTTTGAGAACTGAAAGAGCAAACCAAACCAAATCATAGTTCTGAACTCTTTCAAGAAGTTTTGTGGTGAATCCAAAAAGAAGTCACTCTTCTATCTCCCATTTGGTTCCTAAGTATAGGACAAAAAGTTGATAGTTGCAGATGAAGGTGATGACTTAATGCTGCTTTTAAGACAGCCTTGACACATTGTTACTAAACTCAGTTTCTCCCACTGGTGTACATTAACCATGACATATAGAAGCAATGGCTAAGGGTGAGTAAGTAGCTATATTATGCAGAATTGTGACTGTGGATTGCTTAAGTGATATCCAGCCTTAGGCAAGAGTGCTACATACTGTGCTACCAGACTGCAGTGCAGAGGTAGGCATCAGACACATAGTCCAAGTCTTCACTCTGCAATTTAAAAGCTTCATAATCTTGGGAAAGTTACTTAATCACTTCAATTCTTTTATCTGTGGAAAAGGGATTATGATTTGATTGATTTTGCCAATGAGATGCATTGTCAAGTGCTTGAGATCCCACTGGCTGTTATCTACTGTGCATTCATTACTTGACTAAGGAATTTTCTTCCTGTGTTTGTTTCTTTAATACTTATATCACTGAACCTCAGTTTATCCATTAGTATAAGGAAGATATCTTACTTGAGTTGAGAGTTCAAAATGTAGCACTTCCCATAAACTTTGCATAAATTTGA